AGTAATACACAGTTGCTAAAGAAAGCTTTGTATCTGCAGGCTCCGCATCAGCTCCTATCCATGGAAACGGGAACACGTTTTGGAGCTTCACCAGGATCACCAAAGAGGCCTTGATGAAGCTGCTGTGCAAGTCTCTGCATAGCTTCCTAGGCAAAGTAAAAACCCAGACAAGAGAGGCTTTAACAGGGAGAGCAATGTATGTGTCAGTGGGTGCTACTGTAATTTTCATTCCATGAATCATCCATGTTCCTGACTTTTTCCTCAGCTAAGTGATGAGATTCAGTGGCTCAGCATATGGAGCTTTTCAGCAACTTGACAATAAAACTGTTCCCCCTGAGCACAACCTGAGCAATGCCAAGCCTTGAGTCTCGTTTACACCAAGATACCCTTCCCCAGGAAGAAAAGGTCAGGAGATGAAGGGCAGGACTTTGCAGATGTAGGATTTTACTGGGATGCTTCTACCAAGAGTTGCATGATAGATATGCTCTTCCTTGGGGATCAGGGCACCTCTTTGGGTGAGTTTTCCAGTACTCTGGAAGCAGCTCGAAGCCAACCACACAGCTACTCCATAATATGTTTTCACACCACCAACTCACCTTGGGCTAACGACAGCAATGTAATCAATAGCAATTAATGCAAAAATGGAAGTTGGGGGGGGGGCTAGGGGTTTGCTGTTATTTATCATGTTACTATTCTCATATTTGCCTCTTTATTTCACTACGACAAAGCTAAGACTTTCCAGCAATTTCACTGACCAACAGCTCCCTTGCAAGACCAGCAGCAGGGGACTGCCCCAGTGCAAAGAAGGTCACAGCTTGGCACTCACGTAGAAGCTGAAGAGACACAGACAGAGCAGGAATCCGAGTGTTCCTGGAGGAAAATCAAACCCTAAGTTTATAAAATCAACCCAGCTTTCTCTGCCCTCAAATAATTCAATTTATTTGCAAGAGCATCTCTACCATAGGAAACGGTCAGGAAGAACCAAGACTCCAACCTCCCTCTTCCATAGTCCAGGGGAGTCCCTTCCCACAAGGGATATTTCATCCTCATCCTTGATTTATGAACATTTAATCAAAATGTCATTTCCCCCAAAAGGTTTGCTTCCAACAGAAGTTTCTGAAATAAAACTCCCATCAGTTCTAATAACTATATTGGCAAAATTGTATCAATAAATCATTTAATGTGGACCCTGTCTAAGTCACTTTTACATATGAGGTACCTAGTAGTTCAAAAAGAAATACAAAGTCTACCTCTGCTTGCCACAAATCAAGAGGACCCCTTAAGGGTGGGAGATGTGACTTTGTCTTCTGTGGGCAGTAAGGGCTGGTTGCAGAGCTCCAGACCCAAGCGGGTCCCTTTCTCCCAGTGAATGCTGACGTGCTACTGTGGTGCTGCACCTCCACCCTGGCACACTCCACAGGTCAACACATACCAAAATCTACCACACACAAAATTTATGTGTTTCCGCACTTCCAATGTCTTCTGAAAAAGGACTTTTATTTTTAAAAAAAAAGCTCTCTACAGAACTATGCAATTTTATCATCATTTTTCTTTAACCCTTTAAATTCTGAACATTTAATGCCAGGAGAATGGCACAAGATTAATTCAATTTTCTCCAAAATGCTTTGCTTAGATTTCATCATGCAAAAAACTGCAACTAAAAACAAAAAGAAGTTTTATGATGCTAGGGACAGGATATGCATGGACAACCCATTAAAAAGCTTTTTTTTCCCCCAGACATTCAAATTCCTTTTACTCTGTGCACAGAAAAAACAAAACAAAACAAAACATTTTAGCATGGAAGAAAATTTGAGGCTACCTAAACAACAAACAGCATTATGTTTTCAGGAGAGCTGCTGCAGACAACGAAGAAAAGTGGGTGTTATGAGCAGCTATTAAAAAAAACCAAACAAAGTTCAAGAGAAGCTCATGAAGTCTGTTTACCAAACCTAGCTTCTCATAGCTGGAGATAGTACATCCTTAGTCCCTATTTTTCACAAGAAAAGCACAGAAAAGAAAAAATAAACCCCAACAAAACATCACACAAGGGAGTGTTAAGCCAGGACAAGAAGTGCTAGACACAGCCAGGGATACACTCAAGACTGCTTCACTTATTGTCAGGAACCAAGGGAGATCATTGCTCTTTAATTACACTTTTTAGAAGTCTAAACTAGCACAGATCTCTTAAATTCACAGCTTTCAATTTTACATTTTAAACACCCTGTTATTTCTTACATCTTCAGCACCTGTATTTCAAATACATGTCTTAGCACTGGTCTTCAAAAAACCTGTTTTCTATTTAAACCATTATGTGTTTCCTTGGATAGAAAACTTTTTATGATTCCCCTAAGGTCATGTACTATTACACTCATTAGCAGCCTTCCATTACCTGAGAGGGGCCTACAAGAAAGCAGGGGAGGGACTATTCACAAGGGTTTGTAGTGACAGGATGAGGGGCAATGGCTTTAAGCTAGAAAAGGGTAGATTTAGGTTAGACATTAGGATAAAATCCTTCAGTGAGGGTGACAGACCACTAGAATAGGTTGCCCAGACAGGTGGTGGAGGCTCCAACCCTGGAGACATTCAAGATCAGGCTGGATGAGGCTCTGAGTAGCTTGATCTAGTTGGAGATGTCCCTGCTTATGGCAAGGGGGTTGGACTAGATGACCTTTGGAGGTCCCTTCCAGCCCAGACATTCTATGATTCTATGATTCATTAAATTTATGACACCACTCAACAAACCAGTCAATGTCATAATGAGATGAAATACTATCTCACCACCCAAGCAGTAATATACTCCACAGAGACCTAATTCTTCCCTTCATGGCCTTGATTTAGGTGTACACATACGAAGAGACAGAGGATAAAAGTCAGGGACTAAGGCTCAGGGCTGCACCAAGTCCTTAGTGGTACAACATTAAGACTGCGAGAACTGTGAATGTGAAATACAACAGCCAAGATTACGTAATTACTCATTATTTATGCAAAGGAAACAAAAGCAAAATGATGTATTTTACCAGCACTAGCACTGAGATCTAATCTGCTATCAGAGATTTCATTATGATCCACATTTCCCAATGACTGGGCTACTTCAATGCCATTATTGTTGGATGCCCAAAGCACTTGTTGTGTTAGGCACCAGGAAGTTGCACAAATCATACAGTAACAAAACCAAAAGAATAAAGGCAGTTTCCTGGCTTAGAAACCCTGATAGGTTAAGGAAAAGGAAAAGGAAAACTTGGCTTAACAAAAGCATAAAGCAGTCATTAAGTAGATGTTTTGATATCTCTGTCCTCAAACAGAGTGAGCTCTGGTGCCAACCAATTCTGATGCAAGTTTTTGGCCCCAGGAGATGATGGGACCCCCATTATTTCCACAGGTGAACAATTCCACTTCTTCACTGTCTGCAGCTACTCAACTAGACAACAAGAAAAACATCCTAGGCTCTTCTGGTAAAAATTTAAAGCCCATTACTTGTCCTCTATAAGTACGAAAGGGAAGACTTCACTGCCTGCCTCTACACTAGATCATTTTAAAGCTCTGAGCTTCAAGCCCAGACAATGAGCCATGGATATCATGCCCTGCAGTACACCAAGAGGACACACTTAAAGGCTAGTGTCAAATGATTTGAACAGATCAGTTCAATTCTGTACTCCAGCACGTGACCACCAGAGATCAGTCAAAACGGTGACAACCATTTATTACCTCTATTCTAGTATAGACAATATCCAGACATGAATACCCAAGACAAACTCTTTGGAAAAGTACTATCTGAGTTTACTCTAATGCACCACTTTAACACACATCTGCATGACAGCTATGACTAGTCTTCAGCAGAGAGTAAACACGCTTTACTACTTTCTAGGATTTAGCTTTGGGGTTAGGGAAAACCCCACAGAGCCAAGTTCTGCATACACGACCTCACTATGCAGTTCCTCACTTCTAGTGGCAAAGCCACCATAGGAAGCCCCTGTTCTGCTGCAGCTGTGAGTTCTCACGGCAGTTTACTACTTTCACCAGCCAACACAATCATGTGTGGAGCTAGATGCCTGAAGTGACCCAGGCTTTTAAAGAAGTCTTTAGAGGAACGGAAAGAACAGTACACAAGTGAGAGCTTCTTAGGCTGGGTTTGATACCAAGAAAAGCCACATGGAATCATGTTCTCCTGCTACAGCAAAAAGAGGAGGGAATGCAAAAGCTAGCCTACCACAGCCTCACCTCAGCAGCCTGAGGGATCAACAGAAAGTGCATGAGAAATGGCAACAGCCTTCTGGAGTCAGGGTGATACCCCACACAATAGTCCAGAGAAGGTCACGTCAGCTCATTTCACAGTCTACACTGTGGAACCACCACAGCGTGATGGCTGCCATCTGCACTAGCATAAGAGGCTTCTGCTTACTCAACGGAAGGTGCAGGTGATAAATTTTAGGAGTTGCCTTTACACTTTTACAGCTGACAACATGACAACCTTCAGTAAGAGATAATGTAATATAATCCAATAGGATACACTTAAGAGGGAAAAACAACGGGAATAATGTTGAACACAAGCATACAAATATTCTGAACTGGAGACGTTAGTTGCAGCTGTAAACAATTAAAACTAGAGTACACAATGATCTTTCATGATAAACTCAAGTACTTTGTTAATTTGAAGTTATCTGATACTAAAAACTTGGAATGGGAATGAAGACAAATAGCAGCTAAAATTTGAACCCTGTAATACATGAAGTAGGAGACCTTGAACACAAAACAGCACAAAACACAGCACAGAGCAGCAGACTTGGTCAAGTCATACCACAAGGCATTTTTTAAAGTTCCAGAAAACACCTCTGCCATTTAAAGATAAATCAATATACTTACCATTTGGGTATGCACACAGGAACGCTGGCATCGATTAGAGTATGTCAGCATTCTTTATAAATACTGTATCAAAATTTATAAACTTAGCAGCCTTCAAAAGCAATAAAGCAACAAATAAATTAGACCAATGGCATACATACACGAGCTGCTTGGCCGATAGTGAGCCCCCGGGTAGCGCCTGCCCATAGTGCCAGTCTGAGCTGAGGGGGAAGAAGAAAAAAACAAAGTGAAGATTTAGTACGGCAGCTGTATCTTTTTCATTAAAATGCTAATGACCCCGACAAATTTCAGGGTAACTACAAGTATAAATTATTCATAGCCGTGTTGTCAGAGGAGATGAACTGCGGCGCAATACATGCGGCACACATTTATTATTAGTGGTTGGCCTCCATTAATAAGCTCACATAAATTTTAAGGCACAAAGAGGTCTCGGGTCATACAGTAGCTTCTTTTGGCCCGTGATATAGACAGAAAAACAAATGCTGCAAGGAAGAGTTTGCTTTTGGCTTTAAATACAGTTGGCCAGCAGGCGAGATTTGAGAACAATCTCATCTTAAGTTCTGTGGAGTGATCAGTAAGCAACAAGCTTAACAGTTTGGTATAGAACCAAAACTTATTTGAGCTATACAATGTTGCTTTGAATCTGTCCGTAAAAAACAAAGTGTCTTCACAGGAATGCAGGCTATTTAATAGTGTATCATTTTTCTTGAAGTATCCAAAACCCAAGCAAACCAGAAATGCATGGCACATCTTACTGTCAGTTTGGAATATCAAATGACAAATCCAAAATCTGAACTGAAATGCTGCT